AAAAAAAAATCCGTTCCGTGGGAAACTTTCGTTTGCCATAAGAGTCAGCCTAACACCCTGCTAGTCTAGCGAGACAAAATCTGTTACCGCGCGCGCACAGCAGTCTGTTGTGGATACCCTCCCCGTGTGCGCACAGTTGCGGACAAATGAGGCAGCGCACGCCACGTTGTGTTCTGGCTCCCTTCCGGTGCGCGTAGCGTGGCGGAAAAGTAAAGCAGATGGAGAGCAGAATCGAAGCACACCCACATGCGAAAAAGCTCGGTCCCGGCACCCTGCAACTACAAGTCTAGTCAGACAAATCACTCACCGCGCGCGCCCAGCAGTCTGTTGTGGATACCCTCCCCGTGCGCGCCGCGTTGCGCACAAATGAGGTCACGTGCACCAAGTCGTGGTCCGGCTCCCTCCCGGTGCGCGTGGCGTGGCGGAAGGGTGAAGCAGATGGTCCGTGCCCCACCAAACTACAAAGCACCTCTCCCACAGCAGTCTCTGCGCGATGGTGGTGGTTCTCTCGCTCTCTCTGCTGTTGTGGAAAGGAAAACAAGAACGACATGAGACGGGGCTCCGCAAAATTACTGGAATACACCCAACGTGCGGCGAAATACAAAAAAATGCGCTCACGGAGCAGTTGCGATTGTCGTTGGGATTTGCGGTGGACACCAAATGGGGCAGGTGCAAAGAATGTATGTGTTTGGATCTGTGTGTGCGGTTGCAATCTCCGTATCCTGGCGTGCACAGCAACCCATGTGCAACTCAGCGCTGGGTCACGACACCCGATCCCGATCCGATCGTCACCACGCCGCCCGAGGCCCCCGTTAAGCGCCTTGCTGCTGACAGCAAAATCACGGACTTTTTGGCGAGGCCTAAGTGCGCCAGGGTGGTGTAAGTGGTGATAAAGCCGTCCGTCGCTCACAAGTTGACGGTCGGCACTACTGAATGCTACGACGAAAACCCTTGCTGTTGCACACCCGAAAACAGGGGCTGGAGCTCTAGTGGCGGGAGAGGAGTGCGATGCGAGCCTGGTCGACCGACACGTAGTTTTTTTGCCCCCCCCCAAAACGGCCCCCTCGGTACCAAGTATTCGACCTTCGGCAGAGCCGGCACCTCTTTCCAAAAAGCGCTTGGCGCAGTCCCAATTGCATGCCCCTACCTTTCCTGAGCGCAAGCGAGGCTGAGTGTAGTCAAGCGTGCCAGTGCCCCCGAATCGCCCCCCGGAACGTAGTAGGCCAACCTAGTTTGAATCCCGCGTCCCGCGTGGCCACGGTTCGGTAAACCCCATTTCAATCTCAGCATTAATGCCATCTCTCATTTTATCTCCAGCCGGGTAGCTCTGGTACCAGACGCCAAACTTGGAAAATATATTCGCTCTCGAGACGCCGACAAATCTCTGGTTGTTTGTCACACGAGATTTATCTGCACCGCATATATCTCCCAGCTCTATCGCGTGCGAGGACACGTGGTCATAAATGAGACCACTGGAGTCCTCGAGCCAGGTGTGGAAGCTCTCGCTGCCGTCCCTCCACGGTTTGCCTTCGAGAATCCGATATCCGTACACAATGTGCACGTCGCGGCCGTTGGTGTCGGCGAAACCGCAGACACCGACCTTGGCCCTCAGTTCCAGGCCAAGAGTCCGCCTGTAGAATTTTGCGTTCTCCAGCACGTTGTGTGGGCACCGCCCCTTGATGTTTGTGTAGCCGGCGAACGGTGTGAGCGGGCTCTTGTTGTTTGGTGGTATTCTATCGCAGCAACAGGTGGTGCTGCTGAAAGGGCAGTGGCACCCGTAGATCAGGTAGCCACCGAGTGGCTTACTGTGCACGTACATCGGATCGGTGCACCCCTTAGGTCTTGCTGGCGGGAAACACAGCGCCTTCGGGGCAGAGAAAGGGGGAATACCCTTCTCCGCTCTTTTCATAGCCTTGGTTTTGCCACTTCTTTTTGTTTTCTTTTTAGAAGGCATGATTATTTGATGTGATGTAATCAACATTTAAGTTTCCAAGTAGATTCAATTGACGACCATGATCGCTACTGAGTGCAACTACTGATGTTCCCCCGCCCCACAAGTAGTGCCNAGGCATGATTATTTGATGTGATGTAATCAACATTTAAGTTTCCAAGTAGATTCAATTGACGACCATGATCGCTACTGAGTGCAACTACTGATGTTCCCCCGCCCCACAAGTAGTGCCCTCCTCCTACTGTGCCCACCCGCCATTTTGTGACCTCGGCACGGTTGAAAACAACGGTAGCACCGCGTGCAATCGCTACCCCACCCCCCTGTACACAAGGGACTCTCGCTTTCCGGCACCATTGATTAGGTTTGCATCTCGCAAGCTTGGAGAGCAGAGTGGTGGGCAGATGGTGAAAATTTCAACAGCGTTTGAGTGGTCTGCTGACGAGGTTTCACCGGTGGCACACACACGATCCGAATGGCTTCTTGAATGAGGTCCGCGTCACGTTCGTAGTAGGTTCGCTCTTCGAAAGGCTTGCCGCGGAATGTAGTGAGGCGCTTTGGAACATGCAAACTAGCTTCGACGCCGTACCGCTCAGAGTACAGTCGTTTGAGCACTTTACCAACCTGTCCGGCCTTTTCGCCTACTTTTACGCCCATTTTTACCGCCTCATTACAGATTGACGTCTCAGCACCCCGAGCGCTCTCGCAGCACTTTGGCGTAGCGATAATTTTTCCTGTTTCCTGGTCAATGCTGTCGTCTATCGTCCTTGCGACAACAATGGTCGAGTTGTCAATCGGTGTGGTGGTTAGCAGGTTATTGGCCCCCGAAGCGCGCCGCTGGATATCCTTAATGCGATCACCGAATTCGATCTCGTCGCGACCGGAGAACTGATTGACGGACTGCAGCTCGTCTTTGCAAGTTTTGCAGATGTCCATCTCGTCCAGTGCCATTGTTTTCTTTGCCAAAATCATGTGTTTCTGAGCTTCCATCAAAGCGTACTTCTTCTTCTCTTCATCTGGCATTAACTGAAACCAAAAGGGTGCTCCCGACAGTTGATTATTGGCGGCGGCTCCCTGGCGTTCGTCCAGGAGAAACTCTTGGGTTGCGCGCCCCTCTTCGCTGCTCTGCAGGGTGGCGTGGCGAGCCCCGATCTCGGTCACGAGGCTCAGGTCACCGCCGAGGAAACGAACGATTTTTTCAGCAGACTGGCTACGAAACTCGCGTGCTTTCTTTCCAGGGAGGAGCCATATGATTTCGATTAGAGTTTTGGGGTCGGCTACTGGTGTGAACTTTCCTTTTCCATTTATACGTAGTTGGTCGCATCGTGCAACGAGCTCTTCCGACGACATTCGAAGTCGATTTAAGGTGGTAGTTGCCGTACTTGAGCTACATTTAAGAACCATGCGGATGGTGTCCATCACGCTCCCCTTCTTCGAAAATTTGTCCACGCGAATGGTCGATGTATCCATACTTTCGATGAGGTCCATAATTAATTGCAGTAGTTGAAGTTTTCAAACATATTTTTTGGTGCTAATTGAACGCGCCACAAAGCCCATGTTTCTGCTCCCTCTGAATATACGCCTACCCATCCGTGCCAGGTTGGCGCCTCACCCCCGATCTCCGCACTCGTCACAGCATCACCAACGAACAAATATGCGTTTTGGGTGCGCTGTTAAAGCATGTGACGTAGATGGTGAGAACGCTTTCGTGTTAACTGATTTTGGTTGCTTCACCGTCGATGTTCATATCGTCGTCCACAGCAGGCACCTCTTCAAACGTCACTTTCACCGCGTGTACACTGCATACTGACTCTGCTAACGCAATACAATTTTGCGTGTCGACGTCCCCGCTAAAATATTCAAAGCCCCCCCTCCCCCAACCCGAAAATCAAGGCTCACGATTAATGGTGGAGGGACACCCGCTTGCGTGCACGCCGCCCCTCTAACTGAAGTAACCACACCGTATTTCTTACAAAACGCTTGAGACAGTTTGTTTACGTATTCTTTCTCCTACACTTGTCTGTGAAGTCCACCATCCCCCCCTCAGCGTGTTCGGCGCAAAATTCCCGCTTCCCACCGTCCACGCCGTACGTCCGGTGCTTGGTGCAACCGTGGCGGCCACACTTCTTGCTGACGCTCACCATTCCCTGCATGGCGTGCTTGGAGCAGAACAGTGCCGTCTTGGTGCCCTCCGCTCTGCACGTCGCCGAAGTGGTGCAACCATGTTGGCCACACGTCTTCTGCTTGAGGTTCACCATTCCCTGCATGGCGTGCTTGGAGCAGAACAGTGCCGTCTTGGTGCCCTCCGCTCTGCACGTCGCCGAAGTGGTGCAACCATGTTGGCCACACGTCTTCTGCTTGAGGTTCACCATTCCCTGCATGGCGTGCTTGGAGCAGAACAGTGCCGTCTTGGTGCCCTCCGCTCTGCACGTCGCCGAAGTGGTGCAACCATGTTGGCCACACGTCTTCTGCTTGAGGTTCACCATTCCCTGCATGGCGTGCTTGGAGCAGAACAGTGCCGTCTTGGTGCCCTCCACGCCGAACGACGGATGTTTGTTGCAATCCGGGTGGTCGCACCTTTTGCCGACGACGTTCATCATTCCCGCTTCCTTGTGTTCGAAGCAGAACCGCCCCTTCGTCGTGCCCTCCACGCCGTACGACGGCTGTTGTTTGTTGCAATCCGGGTTTTCACACCTCCTGTTCTTAAGGTTCACCATACCCGACCTGGCATGCGAGTAACAGAACTGCACCGTCTTGGTGCCCTCCACGCCGAACGACGGTGTTTTGTTGCAACACGGGTTTTTACACGTGGAGCGACGCTTAGCGTGCTTGCTTCCGCCATTTTCCGACACAGGACCCCCTCGTTGACGCTCGGGTGGCTGTTGTGCGCGGCTGCATCACGGAAACAGGCGAGGCGAAACGAAAATAGATTCAGTCATGTGTGTGAGGACACCCGAGTAGGTCGAGTGAAGGATGGACATGTAAACAACTTTGCCTGCAACTTCTGTGGTCAACACACTTTGCAATGCTCACCTTCTGGTGTTGTTGTGCTGAGCTGGCTGAGCCCTTCTCTTGACCGGGGCCTTTTGTTTGCCGCTACTACGCTTCCGCTTTCCATTCCCTGCCTAGAGCGACAAAGATGACCGGATGCGTGCATGGATGGTCGAGTAAAAAATCTGTTCATGCTGCTACCAATATGTGACGAACTTCGTTCACTACTATATAGTATTGAGGCATCACCAGCTTTTACACAAAGCGAATACGAAAAGCACGATCTTGCTTACCTGCTCATCTTCGCTCGCGCCCTCATCCGTGTCGTCCCCCCGCCCTTGCTCCGTGCCATCACTACGCTCCTCCTCCCATTCACCATCCTCCTCCTCCTCCGTCTCCTCCTCCTCCATGTCTTCTTCATCTTTGTTCTTCTCTGTGTCTTCAGCCCCCTGCTCCTGCCCCTGCTCCTCCGCCCCGTGCATCGCACCTTCGCCGTCCTCCGATTCAATCTGAAGAAAGAAACACGAAAACATGCAAATTGGAATGTAACTCTCTTCGAAAGTCACCGCCCCACATTTGACTCGTCGAATCATCCCTCTCGATGGGAAGCACACCCACCTCGCTCACCCCTCCCTCGAACTCGGGAGAAACGTGGTCTTCTTCGCCATCTCCATCACCTTCGTCCTCGTCGACCTACGATAATGGAGTGAAATAAAAACCCGAACGTCACGGCGGAGCGTACATCAGATTTCACCGCGCACATGATATCAGCGTCATGAAAGCGAACATCTACACCCCGCAACCTTCTCACGACTTCAACGCGGTGTCCAAGATGTAAGTAAGAATAAACACCAAAATTTGGGAGTCAAAATTCAGGACACGGTGGGCCACGAGGAAGCATGTGGTAGGAAAGAGGTAATAAAGCAGAAATCAAGGGTAAAAAAGGGGTGAAAAGGTCTGAATGCGCCGCCATTAAACACCATTCGGGATCATCGTAGGTGGTTCATTTTCCGACCGGAAACATATCCCGTCGCGTACTCGGTCGCGTAGAGGAGATGGATGTGCTAGTTGTGCCCTCCTGCTCCAAGGCCGAGGGCCCATTCACGTGCCTAGAATGTGCCGGTGCGTTGGTACGGAAACAGGGCAAGATCAGAGTGTTCCACTTCGCGCACCACCTCCTGTCGCCCGACGGTTCCGGAGGCGGAGTATCGGCCCTCTACAAGGAGAAAGTTGCTGATTGAGAAGTGCTGTTCGCGCCTCATTTTCAAGGGCAAGTGTGTTACAGAAAGGCATATGATAGCGCGTAAGTACGCTGACTCTTCCGCGCACCAGGAGTATCGCTACGACGCGAACAAAAACTTATCGGCGGACGTAGCCATCTTCCAGAATGGTGCGATAACTTCTATCGTGGAGGTGTGCGTATCTCACGCGACCACCGGCGAGTCACTAAAATCTCGCACGGCGTGCGTCGGCGCGAACAATGTGTGTGGGATCTCGGCCATAGAAATCCTCAATCAGCAGGCGGACTGGTATGATGAAAGACCTGTCGCACGATTCGCTCAGGGCCGCCATTGAGTTGAAATGTGTAAGCAACTCGGAGGACAGGTGACCTTCCCGAGGAGCACCTCAGCGGCCGCAGGATCTGGCTAGCAGAACGGCTAGCAGAACGAGAGATTTGATACATCAGAGTAAAGAGAGAGAGTGGACGTAGGACCTTGATCGATTCGTACATCAAACAATCATAGCGAAGCCATTGGTGCCCATTGAAGACCTCCTTTTGACAGAGCTTAAATAGCTGTGTTCTTATCCGAGCCGAAAAAGTCCTGAAATGGTTGCTGGCACTGGTTTCGAAGTAGACCAACGCCCCCTACAAGCGTTTTTTTGGCAATCGGAAAGACCAAGTACGCTCCGCCCCCTTACCCGCCCCACACAGAGAGCCGGTAGCGCCAGCACCGCCTGTACCAGCAGCATACAGTCGTTTATGTCGCGACCAACACCCCCATCAAGCGCTACGCTACGCCCACGGTTTGACACTCTGTCCTAATGGCGTAGTCTAACTCGACCGGGAGACCAAACGCAGCCTCTTGCTTCTCCTGTCCAGCTTACCCCGCTCCTACTCGGGCGTAACCCTGGCATAGCGAATCGTAAGTTCTTCCCCTGCTCGCACGGGTCGAAGAGTTACGAGTGAGCACGTGTACCAGGTTGTAATCACCGCCTGTCCAGCTTTCGTTGATTCATACCAGTCAGGAGCTGCCGCTGAAAGTTAGCTCCGCATTGGGCGAGCTGCAATGATTTAGAAGACGAATCATCCGACTTCCCATGTCTTCCAGGCACCCCATCAAGTTGCCTCGGAAAAGAGCACCTGGGTCGATGTACACTACCCCGCTCTTTTCAGCATGAATCACGCGATAGCAGCAGTCGTACTGTTCTATCGTAAAAATATCGTCGAATTCGGAGCTAGGCAACACCGACGTATGCACTGTTTTGCCTTTGCGTGCGCATCGCTTGAGAAACGCCCCTTGGCCTTCAATCTGGCTTGGCCTCTCGTCCACTTCAAAATGCTCCTTTAGCCACACAAAGGGCACCTCATTATGCATAGATCGAAAGTCAAGGGCCGCCATTTCTTTGGGCCCGTCCTTTTCTTGAGCTTTCTCCCTACAGCGGCGTGGCAACCTCACTCGTGGGGCCTTGGATTGGCACTTCTCATTCTTCCTCAAAGCACGTTCGATGTCGGCCTTCACTCTCTCCATGTCCGTTTGTAGCTTCTCGATTGCCTGCCGATCAAAACATACACACATGGGGATCGCTCCGTGATGCTGCCATGTGCAGGGGACCAGCGACAAGACAAAGCGTTTACAACTTGGACACACACAAACGTCGGCAACCCACCTCTCGTGCCTTCCGCTCGCGTTCCTCAGCAGCCTCTTTTCTCTGACTGCGTCCCCTGCTTCCCTCCTTTCGATTTCAACTTGTCCTCCCTCTCGCTCCAATGCCTGGTGTGTCGGTGCGAGCTGTTCGAGCCGTGGCCGAGTCGCGCGCGGAGGGAGAAACATAACTTGTGGGCCACGGTTTTCACAGGAAAAGTGCACCCAGCGCTTTTGGTGACAATTTACACACACACACACACTCTCTCGTTCTCAAGCCGCTCACTCACCGAACCAGACTGCTCCACCGCAGGGAGATCGCCTGACATGCCGACGTCAGGGATCAAAACACCATCGTCCCCGCCGCTCTGCCCCCTGGCTCCACCGAAGCGTGCCGCTGCGAGAAAAGCAGCTTTTGCTACATCCAGCACACCACCCTGCAGCTGCTTTCGTCGAAGCCTTTTCAGGCCACACAGATGGTTGCAACGCTGATACGATCATTTGCCCTTTAGGGCCTGTCATCCCGCTTTCTCCGTGTGGCTGGCAGTGGGTACGTTCTCCTCCGTGTCCGTAGTTGGCCGTTGAAGTACAACCCGAATGAGCACACACTTTCAGCTGCAGATTGATCATGTCATCCTCTGCGTGGCGAAAACAAAACCGTTTTCTGTTTGCAAGTCGAAACCCAAACGAGGGACGCTTCTCACACCCACTGTGCTCGCACGTTTTGGATTTTACAATGGTCGTGCCTTCCGTCTTATGTTCCTGACACACCGCTGCTGCCGACTTCCCGCTTGCGCCTGCAGGAACGGAGGGGCAGGACAGGGTACGATGGAAAAAATGCGGCGCATATAGACTACGTACATGGAATACTGCTGCAGATGTTTAGCTGCTGCGCCGCGTAAATGAAACAAGGGCGTTGAGAGGAGGGGAGCGTGCTACCTTTGTGACGCTCATCATGTGTCCCTTGCCTTCGCCGCTACATACAGGAGGAGCAGCATCAGTGGAAAAGTCTGCTGTCATTGATCCGCGTTTACACATGTACTTGTCCTTACGGCGCAGTTGGACTACCTACACAGATTACTGCTGCAGATGTGCAACTGCTGCGCCGCGTTAAACAAACAAGGGCGTTGAGAGGAGGGGGGCATGCTACCTTCTGTGGCGCTCAACCTGTGTCTCTTGCCTTCTCCGCTATACACATCAGCAGCATCAACGAAAAAGTACTGCTGTTATTGATCCGCGTTTTACTGCTGTATTTGATCCGCGTTTTTCACGTGTACTTGTCCACACGAGTCAATAACGCGACACAACAAACTCTTCACCTTTGTAGCGAGAAGATCCATGCTTGTTGTACACATGACAGCGTAGCCCACTCATGGCGTAGCGTGTGGCTATCCTTAGAAGTGCCAACTTCGCAAATGACACCAGGAGGAGGGGGTTCCGCGGTTCGATACGTGCAGCGGAGTAGTATATATCGTTTTTATAGGGGGCCCGTGCGGCGAAACGCGCCATTCGAACCCAGAACGCAACAGATTGCACCGCTCGATGTAGAGCCTCGTGAGCAATAAGCACGCCACCCTCTCTCTCAAGGCTTGTGTTCACACACACACACACACACATCGGCTGCGTTGTTGTGTTACCAAACCGTGTGTGGGGTGCAGGGCGTGCAACGATTTCCGCTGCAGCAGTATCTCCGCATTTTTGCTGCTGTGAGCCACCGGCTTCAACAGACCGACACGAATCGCACCGCAAGCCAATCACGGTGCGGGCTTGCGCGGCCTCTGTCTCTAAGAGGCTTGTGTTCGCACACACATCTGCTGTCTTACCAAACCTTGGCACATCGGGTGCAGGGTGTGCAATGATTTTTGCTGCGCTGCTGCACAGACGCAGTCTCTCCGCATTTTGCTACGTGCCCTGAGTTACAGTACGTCCTTCGATCGACCACTATGGATCAGACAGTAAATGTAGCGTCACACGCACTGAGAGGAAGCACTCTTCTGTTCGCTTAGAAGCCGTGAAATCCAGGTGCTGCTGGACGTACAGCAGTATTTCGGTTTTACAAGAACTACAGTACGTATTCTGTTGATCATCGTATCAACTCAGCGAAGATTTGGAGCAGATCAACATGCGTTCCAGTTGAGAACAGAAATGGATGGGTGCAAGTATTCGAAGTGCAATAATAACAGGCTAAACCAGCGCTGGGTACAACCGTGTGCCGTTGATACCACACCGACCAGAGACCCCGATAAGCGCGTCGCTGGCAATCGGAAAATCACGGATTTTTCGCGAAGCTCGAGCGCGCCAGAGTTGCGTAGGTGGCGGTAGGTGTCTCTTGCTTCCCCCCGCCGCCCCGCCTTCAAATACGGCACTACGTGCAAAATTGACGAAATCCTTGCTCTTCCACACCAGAAATACAGGCGCTGGGGCCCTCGCGGCGGGAGAGGAGGGCGATGCCAGCCGGGGATTCTAGTAGCACACAATGCCGTTTTTCGCTGAGGGGGAGGAGGGCATGTGTTTTACTTTCGCGATTGAAGAGCAATAGGCGGCTTTCAGGAGGGAAGAGGCCCTTGCTGGGGAGAAGCAGTGGCTGAAAGATCTTTTGGAGGTTCTTGTTTAAAGAGTGTCCCGAGCAGGGCAGGTTGATGCCAAGTACGACGCTGGTTCCGGTGCGGGTTGTGTCATGATGCCATTGGGCAATTGCTTGTTGTCTTCACAATAAAAACCATTCCCATCTCCGCTGAGTGTCGACAAGAGACGCCTTCCGTGGGCGCAGCTGCATATATCTACCCAAGTTCGACAAGGAAATCGCAGGAAAGCTTACCGAGCAACGACCTCTATCTACCCAGATCCGACAAGGGAAATCGCGGGAAAACAAAAAACAGGCCGGGGCCTCGTCAGCCCCCCCCGCTACAACCAAAACGACATTTCCGATAGTACCCGGCGGCGAGCGCGCCCGCCCCACACAGCTTCGATATTTTCAATCGGAATCGAAGCAGACGTGCCGTTTGTTCCGGTCGGAGACGTCGCGCGAACATCGCACCAGTTGAACGGATTTGTTGATTACGGAAACCTCTAAATTTGGACGTGAGAGAACAAACACCGTACTGGATGAAACCCATGTCGAAAAACTAACTCCTTTGCAAAAGCATCACCACAAGCCAAAAAAATAAGGAAAACATGGAGTGCGCACTATTTACCGTGTAAGTCCTCGGCACACCCACCCAACTCTAGTCGTATCTCGGCAACATCCACATGGTCGGCCCCCAACTTGGCCTCCTTGATCTCCAGCGCCCGTCTGAACAACTCTTCTGCCTCCCTCGGCCGCCCTGCCTCCCGAACGCAACCACCCATCGCGTGCAGCGTCACGGCCACTTGTGGATCGTCGGGTGCCAACTTGGCTTGACGGATCTTGAGCGCTCGCTTGAACAGTCTTTCCGCCTCTCCCAGCCGCCCAGCCTCCCGTACACTCAGCCCCATCTCGTGCAGTGTGTAAGCAACTTCGGCATCGTCGGGCCCCCATTTTGCCTCGTCGATCGTGAGCGCTTGCCTGAACAACGCTTCCGCCTCCCCGGCCGCCCGGCCTGCCGCATACACATACCGACATTATACAGCGTCCAACCAACTTGGTGATCGTCGGCCCCCAACCTGGATTGAAAGATCTTGAGCGCTCTCTGAAACAACGGTGCCGCATCCCCCGGCCGCCCCGCCTCCCGCACAACCTTACCCATCGCGTACAGCGTGTTGGCAACCTCCACATCATCGGGCCCCAACTTGACCTCCTTGATGTCAAGCGCTCTCTGAAACAACGGTTCCGCATCCCCCGGCCGCCCCGCCTCATGCACACACAGACCCAGCTCTCGCAGCGTCACGGCAACCTGCAGATCGTCGGGCCCCAGCTTGGCCTCCAGGATCTTCAGCGCTCGCCTAAACAACGCTTCCGCCTCCCCCGGCCGCCCCGCCTGCCGCACACACAGACCTAGCTCGACCAGCGCCACGGCAACCTGTAGATTGTCGGGTCCCAACTGGGCCTCCCTGATCCCCATTACTCGCCTAAACAAGCCTTCCGCCTCCTTAAATCGCCCCTCCTTCCGAACACACTGACCCAGCTCTTGCAGCGTGTAGGCAACCCCCACATCGTCAGCCCCCAACCTGGCCTCCTTGATCTCTAGCGCTCGCCTAAACAACGGTTCCGCCTCCCCCGGCCGCCCCGCCTCCCGCACACACAGGCCCAGCGCGTGCAGCGTCGTGGCAACCTTGACATCGTCGGCCCCCAACCTGGCCTCCTTGATCTCTAGCGCTCGCCTAAACAACGGTTCCGCCTCCCCCGGCCGTCCCGCCTCTCGCACACAAATGCCCAGCTCGCCCAGCGTCGCGGCAACATTGACATCGTCGGGCCCCAGCTTGTCCTCCCTGATCTCAAGCGCTCGCCTCAGCAACGCTTGCGCCTCCCCCGGCCGCCCCGCCTCTCGCACACAAATGCCCAGCTCGCCCAGCGTCGCGGCAACATTGACATCGTCGGGCCCCAGCTTGTCCTCCCTGATCTCAAGCGCTCGCCTCAGCAACGCTTGCGCCTCCCCCGGCCGCCCCGCCTCCCGCACACAAAGACCCAGCTCATGCAGCGTGTAGGTAACCTGTAAATCGTCGGGCCCCAACTTGGCCTCTAAGATCTCCATCGCCCGCCTAAACAACGGTTCCGCCTCCCCCGGCCGCCCCGCCTCCCGCACACACACAGCCAAATCGTGCAGCGTCCAGGCAACCCCCACATCGTCAGCTCCCAACTTCGCCTGCTTGATCTCCAGCGCTCGCCTAAACAACGGTTCCGCCTCCCCCGGCCGCCCCGCCTCCCGCACACACACAGCCAAATCGTGCAGCGTCCAGGCAACCCCCACATCGTCAGCTCCCAACTTCGCCTGCTTGATCTCCAGCGCTCGCCTAAACAACGGTTCCGCCTCCCCCGGCCGCCGCGCCTCCCGCACACACAGGCCTATCGCGTACAACGTCGTGGCAACATTGACATCGTCGGCCCCCAACTTGTCCTCCCTGATCTCCAGCGCTCGCCTAAACAAGTCTTCCGCTTCCCCAGGCCGCCCCGCCTGCCGCACACAAAGCCCCAGCCCGTGCAGCGTCACGGCAACATTCACATCTTCGGCCCCCAACTTACCCTCCCTGATTTCCAGCGCTCGCCTAAACAACGCTTCCGCCTCCCCCGGCCGCCCCACCTCATGCACACACAGACCCAGCTCTTGCAGCGTCACGGCAACCTGCAGATCGTCGGACCCCAGCTTCGCCTCTAAGATGTCCAGCGCTCGCCAAAGCAACTCTTCCGCCTCCGCCGGCCGCCCCGCCTGCCGCACACACCGACCTAGCTCGACCAGCGCCACGGCAACACTGACTTCGTCGGGGCCCAACTTGTCCTCCCTGATCTCAAGCGCTCGCCTCAGTAACGCTTCCGCTTCCCCACGCCGCCCCGCCTCCCGCACACACACAGCCAAATCGTGCAGCGTCCAGGCAACCCCCACATCGTCAGCTCCCAACTTGGCCTGCTTGATCTCCAGCGCTCGCCTAAACAACGGTTCCGCCTCCCCCGGCCGCCCCGCCTCCCGCACACACATGCCCAGCTCGCCCAGCGTCGCGGCAACATTGACATCGTCGGGCCCCAGCTTGTCCTCCCTGATCTCCAGCGCTCGCCTAAACAAGTCTTCCGCTTCCCCAGGCCGCCCCGCCTGCCGCACACAAAGCCCCAGCCCGTGCAGCGTCACGGCAACATTCACATCTTCGGCCCCCAACTTGCCCTCCCGGATCTCCATCGCTCGCTTATACAACGCTTCCGCCTCCCCCGGCCGCCCCGCCTCCCGCACACACAGGCCCATCGCGTACAACGTGTCGGCAACCTGCAGATCGTCGGGCCCCAACTTGTCCTCCCTGATCTCAAGCGCTCGCCTATACAACGCTTCCGCCTCCCCCGGCGCCCCCGCCTCCCACACACACAGGCCTATCTCGTGCAACGTCGAGGCAACTTGGAGATCGTCGGCCCCCAACTTTGCCTCCACGATCTTGAGCAGTCGCTTAAAAATGACTTTCGCCTCCCCGGGCCGCCCGGTCTCCCGCACACACCCACCCAGCGCTTGCAGCGTCACGGCAACCTGTAGATCGTCGGCTCCCAGCTTCGCCTCTAAGATCTCCAGCGCTCGCCTAAACAACCCTTCCGCCTCCCCCGGCCGCCCCGCCTCCCGCACACACCCACCCAGCCCGTGCAGCGTCATGGCACATCGGACATCGTCGGGCCCCAACTTGGCCTCATAGATCTCCCGCGTTCGCCTCAACAACGACTCCGCCTCCCCCGGCCGCCCCGCCTCCCGCACACACAGACCCAGCTCGTGCAGCGTCCAGGCAACCCCCACATCGTCGGCCCCCAGCTTGGCCTCCTGGATCTCCAGCACTCGCCTAAACAATGTTTCCGCTTCCCCCGGCCGCCCCGTCTCCCGCATACACAGACCCAGCTCTTGTAGCGTCACGGCAACTTGTATATCGTCGGGCCCCAATGTGGCCTCCTCGATCTCCAGCGCTCGCCGAAACAGCGGTTCCACCCTCTTCATGATTTCTGCTAGTTCGCCAAGCTTTCGAGCGCCACGGTATAAATTCATGACAACTCCAACAGCACCACTCGTCGCATAACTCGTCGCAGGATTCGAGGTGACCATTTGAATAAGCTGATCGTCGTACGGCCGAAGTGCCCACCACCCCTTTCCCCCCACCTCCTCCAACGCCCGCCACATGGGTAGCAGAACGAATATCTCGACGCCAACCGCAAAGTCCAAACGAGAAATGTGTTCAGTCCACCTTTCCACGGCTGGCTCGCGTAAATCATTCCTATCCATGAGCTTCTTTCTCGCAAAGTCCGCGTGGGCGTCGTGTGTGCGGTACTTTTCTGATGCATCGGTTCGAAGAACACCCCATCGCTCCAAGATCGATATCGGTCCTTTCGCTACTTCTTCGTTTTCCAGAAGCACCGCTGCGTCCGATTCGCCGAACAAAAAGCCTTCGGGGAACACCGCGAGCTTTACATACAGCTCTTGGGCCAGAGGGTCTTCCCTTCCAATGTATTTGAAGCCGGCGCGCAGAACCGCAAGTCTGTTGATGGCGCGATCGTTATCCTCGCCAGTATTCCCGACTTTCATCTGACCCCGAACGTGGTCGATCTGGGCCGTGAGTTCTTCCACAGTACGTTCCCACGCCTTGTTGCTCTTGGGTACGCCATTAGTGGTACGCACAGAGGTCCAGCTCCCCACGAATGCGGTGTCCATCGCCACACGACCACAGATCTCGAGGACTTTCATCGAGGCGTCGCACAAACGTTCACCGAGCGGCAGCTCAGCTGCACCGCGAAGAACATCCTCCGCCTCGGCCGGTATCAGTGTGTCCATGACCACCCTCTCCTCGGGTTCCCCCATCTCTGGGAATCGGGTGGTCAGGAGCACCCACATGCCCGTCTCTCTCAGCTTCTGGACCACTGACGCCTCCCACACATCGTCGGCCACCACAAGGCACCGCAACTTCTCCTGTGACACGATCTTCCTGACGTAGCTCACGCCGTCATCGCCCGTTGGAGCATCGACGGCCCCTTTCATCACGTCCTCGTGGAGTCTCTTGGCTAGATTGGACATCAGACTGGGTAAGCGGTCTGCGGTCCCTGCCTCCCGGCCCACCCAAAGCCACACCACGCCGTCGGGAAATAGCGCCCTCACGCGATCACCTCGCTCACCCACCATGGCAGCGGCGGAGGTGGTTTTGCCCGCCCCGCTCCCCCCCGTCAGTGCCGCCATCGCTGGCCCTCCGTCGCCACCGAGGATCTTGCACACTCTGTCCACCACCCCATCGCGCACAACGTGAAATGACTTGGTGAAAGGAGCCTTTTTCGGCACCGGTGCTAGCTTGGGTCCTGGCTGCAGACGAGCCTGTGCGCCAAGAACAGCCCAACGAAACAGACGGAAACGAAAAAGGAGGAAGAAGCAAGTGTTGAAAAGCCCCAAATTGATATCCTGGTCTGTTGTTGTGGCGGGCCCGAAGTTCTCCTAACCGCTTAAGAGGTCTCGTAAGGTTTCGTTTTTGCTAACACTGAGAAACGAGGGTAAAAATCGTGAAGCAATTTGCAACCGGGTACGCTTCTCACCAGAATCTGATCCAGTTTCTCCCCGTTGTTCACCACACCCGAGAGTCCCATGATCGGAACGACGTCCTCGATGCGTTTGCGAAGCCTCTGGATGTCCTCGCCGTCTCTGCGAAATTGCGCCAGCCTGGCCAAGCGCCCTCGGTCATGGTAGCGTTCGGCCACCTCCTTGAGCTTGTCGACGCACTCCTGGAGGGGTTTCACGTCAATCGTCGATGTCTTCGAAGCCTTGGCCTTGTCGATCACCTGTATCGTGATCATCTCGCATCTCTCATGCAGCTCCTCGAGCTCCTCCTTGTTGCGGCTGGCCGCATCCACGACACCCTTGGCCTTCAGCAGAGCGGTGCATAGTGGAGCCACCACCGGCGCGGAGGCACCGATCTCGATGGCTCCCTCCGCAAACGACTGTACTACGGTCAAAGCCGTAAATCTCACCCCTTCACGCGTGGCCTGAACAGCGTCACCTCGCGTGGCCATGGTGGAACTGTAGATTTTCTATTTGTTGTTGCAGTAGGGGGAAGGGGGTGGTATTCGGCGTCACACACAAGGATTTTTTCTGTTGTGCGACATGTCCATTTTTAAGCGGCAGACTTGGGAGCATGTTTGCGTGGTCGTTCCACAGCTAATTGAAGCATACCAACCGCTTCGCCTACACTGGCGCCGACACGACACACATGCGAAAAACCTTGGTCCGGGCACCGTTTGCTCAGCCTATTGAGACAAATGACTCACCGCGCGCGCCCGGAAGTCTGTTGATGTTACCCTGGCTCCCTCCCGGTGTGCGTAGCGTGGCGGAAAAATGAAGGAGATGGTCCGCCCCCCCCGCCAAACTACAAAGTATCTCTCCCACAGCAGATTATGGTGGTCTTCTCGCTCTCTCTGCAGCAGGGCAGTCGGGGAGGGGAGGGGGAGGGGTGGTATTCGGCGTCACAGACATGTTTTCTTCTGTTGTACGATGCGTCATATTTTTACGCGGAAGCCTTTGGGAGCTTGTGTGCGGTGGCCGTTCCAGAGCAAAATAAGCGAAACCCCCTTGTCTCAGCACCCTAATCTCTCACCGCGCGCGCCCAGAAGTCTGTTGTGGATACCCTCCCCGCGTGCGCACCGTTGCGGACAAATGAGGCAACGCACGCCAAGTTCTGTTCCGGCTCCCTCCCGGTGCGCGTAGCGTGGCGGAAAAGCAGAGCAGAAGGTCCGCCCCCCACCAATCTACAAAGCACCTCTCCCACAGCAGTCTCTGTGCGATGGTGGTGGTTCTCTCGCTCTCTCTGCTGTTGTGGAAAAACGGAGATGACCTGAGAGGGGGCTCCGCAAGATTATTGATGTTACACCCAATGTGCGGCGCATGCGCTCACGGAGCAGTTGCGATTTGTTATAGGCTCAAGAATTCTGGCATTATTTTTCTAATCTTCTACGAGAAAAAATGGTGAAGACCCGAGACAATATAGATCACATGTAGACGAACCGTACCTCCACTCTTGTGGGTCCTGCCCCTACGATGTCCCTATACGATACTCGAATTCACGACTCAGCCAATCCGGTACGAGAATAGCCTCTTCCAAGCTATCTGAAAACCACGCCATTGTGCAGGCTGAGTGTACTGTTTTACTCTCATCTTCCTCCTGTAAGTCCCACGGAAACCGTTTCTGCTCCTTCTCCCGCTTCCCTTACGTACACCATGAACGCTCGCGACTTCCAACGCCCAGCCCGCTGAATCTGCAAGTCCGACACGCCTTGCGCGGCTAATTGCGTGGCGCCACCAATGCGACCCGAGTGCAACGCGTACTGTGCCGGATCCTTCCCTGCACAAGCAACCATCCTCCTCAGCGCGACTACAGCTTCCGCGCGAGTAACCACCTTCCACCCATTTGCACCCATCCTCGTCATCAAAGGGGCACGTCCGGGAAGGCTCCGGTGGACGTTCAGGAGCTCCACGATCGCTTCGAAGGCTCCGAAAGGCGCCCTACCAGGTTCCTCCGATCTCGGGCTGCGGGTGCGCGTGATCGTGCATCCCTCTCGATTCTGATCTGCTTTTGACGCCACGAAATGAATCCTGACTGAATCCGCGCGCGCTCTATCTTCAGTCTCCACTTGAATGTCTCCTTGAAAAAACCTCAAGCAGTCACGCGTCAAACAGAAATCTGGATGGACGAGGCCGTTCGCGTACGCGAACAATTCCGAAGCTCGGCACAAGAGAAAATACGACAGCGTCAGTCCTAACCAGAAAACTTTTCCTCCATCCGGAGCGCTCGCGACGGTATGGTAGCCTTGGGACAACATCGACCACGTGAGGGGCAGCCTCACTTGCGCTTGCTTGCCCGTCATCCCTCGAATGCGATCAATCCCTTTCCCTGCCGCCGTAATCATACAGTGCGACGTGGGAGGCTCCCACCCCGTACATAGCTTATGGTAAAACTTGATCGCTGCGAGGTATCCCCGAACTGTGGACTGCTGGTTGTTGAACGAAAACAAGCGACACGTCATAAATTCGAGGAGGAGCGCGACGATCTCGGACTCGTCCATCGAGTTCAACCACGGTTCTTTACCCTTGTGTTTCATAAAATCCAACCATGTCTTCCACTTCGCGGCGTACACCTTATGCGTGCTTCCCCCGATCGACGCGCTCACTAAAGTATCCACCAACCGCGCGACTTCCGTGCTCATCCCCTCTCCTTCCCGCCCTGTTCCTGAAGCGTCCGTAAGCGGAGGGTTCGAGGATAACGTTGGAGGTCACGGGGGTGTTTTGTCGATGAATTTTAGTGAGGTGTCATCATGAGATTCCATAACGTTCGATCGTGACGGGGTTGTAGGTTCTTTTTCTGCAGCACGAAGGAACACACTTTTTCTCCGCGTGAACCGAGTGGTATTTCGCGCCAATCGTTTGTGTTGGTGAATCTTTGGACCCTATCGGCTAGTTCCGACCTTGGCCATCGAGAAATCCCGTCCGCGAGCGTGTTTTTTACGCCCGGGATGTGTTTTGCCTCGTAACTCCATTCTCCCGAAATCTCGAGTCGTCCTAGCATTCTCATCATCAAACACGCGCGTTTGTCTCTGGCCCCGCCGCACCGGTTTGACCATGTGACGGCCGCCATGTTGTCACCTCGCATCAAGACAGGGTCGTTGTTGTTTTTTGGGCGATCCCCTACGAGGCTGTGCATTACCCAGGCGGTCATTACCATGCCCACGAGTTCGAGTAGATTGATCGTGACGCTACAGGTCTCCCGACGCGCGGCCTTTTGTTTCAATTCGGTTGCGAAGTCCAAGGGCAAGTCGTATCGCCAAAACACCCTTTTTTCTGGACAGAAGCCGCCAATGGCGTCGAAACTAGCGTCTGATAGATAAAGTCGTTTTGGCTGGCGTTTTACGACACCGTAGCACGGGGCGTTCAGCGACTCTCCAGCTGTGAGCAATTCGTGTTCGATTGCCCACCTGAAAAAATCTAGGTCGTCGTGGAACTCTCTCCCTAGTTCTACAACGTGGCTACAGTTTCTCGTGTGTTTCCTGTGGAGTCCTGTGAGTCTCAACAACCTCCAGACGAAGTACTTTCCGGCCCGAACCACGTACGTGAGGTTCCACAGCTTCCCGGCTATGCTAAACACTTCTTGCGCTGTCGCTTCACGCTTGTGGCGCGGCCAGTCGATTTCTAAGGCTGTTTTTAACGCCTCTGCTTTCTTTGTCGTCAAAGAGATTTTTAGCTTGTGCGAGTCGATGACGAAACCTAAGTATTCAAGCTGCGTGTCCCAATTCGAACTCTTCTTCGGCGCGAGTATAGGAGTCTCCCCCGGTTCTCCCGGGCCGAACAAGCGAACGTAGTCTGATGCTAAAGACGCGGACACGGTCAGCGCTGACAAGTCGTCGGGCGATTGCTGGGTTCTCAGGAGGCCGTGATCATCTACGTAAACGACTGACATAAAATTGCTCGACCGATCGCCTCCTTTTGTGGCGTGAACTGTGGCGTCGTCCGGCACGGGCGTAGGGTCGCCTTCCTCCCACGGTTCAACGATTTTTACATGCTTCATCATGTTTACTCCTTCGGGCAGCAACTGCACGCTGTCGAGATTGGTATTACAGTGCGAGTGCTCAGCCGCGGACGCCATAACTCCGAAATGTCCCGGCGAGCCGGTCCAACCGAAAGTCAGGCGGAAATCGATGACGACGAGGTCGTCGACTACGTAGCTGAAGTTGTGCGCTTGCTCAGGTTCTACTCGAACGTTGCGATAGGCGTCGTTGACGTCCGTCGTTGACATGAGGATGCGGAGCTTCGGGTTTTTGGCTCGAAGGCTAACTAGCTCCGACAGGAATTTTGGCAGAGCTTCGGCGCAGAGGCTAGGGGGTACACTGTCGACGTCTGTGTCAGCGTTGAGACCTCCTTTTACTCCTTTGTTGTCAGCGTCGAAAGACAAGTCGTTGATTATCCTAACCTTGTGGGTAACGACCGCTCCCAGCGGCGACACGCGGAGGTTTGGGATTTCATACGCCGCCGATTTTTGAATAACGAGACATCTCTCTCTTCGTACATCCTCTGCGAGTTTCTTCCAAATGAGTGGTAGGTGCTCGTCAGCCGACCGGTGGTTTCCGTAGTTCAGTGCGCTTGCAAGGTCCGCTTTAGACGGGGGGGCACTCACTGGTACCCCTCCAGTAACGATTGTCATCAGTTCTTCGATCTGTGGAAAACCTTTTAGGTCCCCAAAATATTGTCTGACGTGGTTCGGGTCTACCGGTGGTGTGACCAGGGTTCCGCCGAGCGACCGTGCTACCTTCCCTACCGAACCACGGTTGTCTCGCATCATTTGTGTGCAAACCTCTGCTAGTTGATACAGAATTTGTTCTCTCTCTGGTTGTTCAAGGTTTGTTTTTCCGAGTGTTGCTCTGTCCTCGTGCCACCTCGCCACGTGTTTTCGCTGTGTTTCACTGCGCCCTTGGCCATTGGGAATCGATGATGACCCGACGTGGGGAGGGCTACGATGACGCAAGACTCGTTGTTCCGTGGTGTAGGTCGAGCGCAGTCCTACAGGAGGTTGTATATTGCGCTGGAGCTGCTGCGTGGGGGTAAAGTTTGCGTGGTGCGTGAGAGACGGTTGTCGTCGTAGTGCCGACCCTTGGACCATTTCTGGCAGGGTGGGACTTCGAGGACAGGTCGTGTCTGACGCGCCAGGCGCGGTGACCGAAGTGAGAAACGTCGATCGTGCCTCGTCTGGTACACGTGCCTCGTGGGGCTGTGTGCGAGACGGGCGATGGGTCGCCGCTGACTCCTTCAAGGCTGCGAGCGGCGTTGGAGACGTTGGCTGCCGCGCGTCTGACACGGAATACCCCGGGGGGCGTGTGAGAGGCGAGGCGAGCCCCGTGTCCGAAACGCCGCCTTCTACGCGTTGTGGGAGAGACGAAAGTCTCCCTGTGTCCGACACAGCTACGTCTGCGGCTTGTGTGGGAGACAGGTGACATGACGTGTCTATCTTTGTGGTAAGCGGTGATACTCGTTGGTCTGCTTCGCGTGTTCGTGGCGGCATCTCGTCAATTCGTGTAGGAAACGGTGGTTGTGCCGACATTTCGAGGGTTCTGGCCCTGGAGTGTGGGGACAACCTACTATCCGATCGTACAGGTGGGCGAGATTCGGCTACGTCGAGGTTTGTGGAGCTACCAGACGGGTTCGTGTGGTTGGTCCACCTATGCCTTGCTGCGCGACCGCTATTGCTCAACTTGAGTTGCTCACCGTGAAACAGGGCCGGCGAAACCGACCCCGGCGTGGGCGCGTCCCGAGGCCCCACGGACCTGGCGACGTCGGCGAACCAGGTACCAGCGCGTCCTGACTCCCCTCCCGCACCTACTGTCGGCCCTGCCGTATGGCAGAGCCCAACCTGTCAGAAACCTCCCCTCCCCCCGCCGCCCCTCCCTCCGGCGCCGCGCCCCTGGTTCCCTCCTCCACCGCCCCTGCCGCCGTGGACCGTCATGCTGAAGTTGCCCACGCTGGGCTGGCGGAGCTGCTGCTGCTGCTGCTGCTGCGATGGTAGCGGCTGCGGCGCCGCCGCCTGCTGCGGCGGGGCCTGCGGGGGTGGCGGGACCTGCGGGGGTGGGGAAGCGGCGGAGGTGGCGGAGGCGGGACCGGCGTGTACGTGGTGGAGTTGGCAGTCTGGGATACGGCACTGGCGGCTGAACCACCATCCCTTGCAAAAACCGGGGGGGCACGTCGGGGTCGT